CGACAAGGGGCCTCCCCCTCGCCCAGCCAGTGCTGCCCCCACACACGCTCCCACTGCAAACGGCGGCCCCCGGCCCAGCAGCGGACGGCTGCCGCGGGGAACAGGCCAGACAGAGCGGTCGGTGGCAAATGCTTCGTACTTGCTGGCTTTGACTGTGTCACGCTGGGTCTGAAGGGTGAGGGCGGTTTGCAGATGGGGAAACCGAGGCTCAGAGGTGCGCTGGCTGTCCCAGCCTCTCAGGCGCTATGGACCTAAGGCTGACACAGCTCTTGAGCAGTGACGATGACCCTTACGAGGGGCAGGGGCCTTGGGCTTGGTCCAGCGCGGTGCTGCCCCGCCCACGGCTGCCTGGGCAGGGGCCCACGAGGCAGGCACCCCCGGCCGGGGTCCCAGAGCAGCCTCTACGCCAAGAGCCTGGCTGACCAGCAGGAGCTGGAAACGGGGAACATCTACTCCCAACACAAGGAAGGCAGAGGGAGACAGGCCTCAGAGGGCAGCCAAGAGAAAGAGAGGACCAGACGGCCCCCGGTCAGACTCTTTGGACTCAAAACCCACCACACAGCTTCCCGAACCTGTTTCCTCCCCTATAAAATGGGTGAACAACCGCCCCCCCCCATATCTCGGGGTTGCTCGTTGAAGTTAACGAGGCAGGTACCATCCCTGGGCCAGCAGCAGGACAAAGCGTCATTTTCCTGAGCACCACAGGCGTGCTACCTGGCCTGACCTAGAGCTAGGGATTGGCCCTGGCATCCCTACCTCAGGGCCACCTGTGGCTGCAAGAACCAAGCCAGGGCTAGGCAGGCTGGCCCAGTACAGTGAGCCCGCTGGGGACTAGCCTCACAGGGATTAGGTGGGACCCGTGCCCTCAGCAACCAGTTGCTATGTAAAGAGCCACATGAAGGAAACGGTGGTGAGCTGGGGCCACGGAGGAGACCTGCCAGGGCATGAGGGCGTGGGGAAGGGTGGGAGAAGGCCGGCCACAAAAGCCCCATGAAGGCTCTGGAGGGGTCAGAGGTCCATAAGAGACGGACCTCCCTCTGGCCGGATATGGCCTATCCAGCGGGGCAGCCCCGATTTCTGTGTTGGGATCTGGGGAGTTCGGGCCCCTCCCCACACTCTGTCCTCAGATCTCAGAGCAGCCGGCCGCCCCCACTTGCCTCCTCCTTCCGTCCAGCATGGGCAGGACTCAGGGAGGCAGCCTCGGGGCCACCGTACCCAGCCCAGGACGGGGTGCGCTAGGAGGGCGACCATCGGTGGTTCTGTGGGGGCAGAATCAGAGGCAATTTTAGCCATCGAGGAAACTGAGGCCAGGAGGGGAAGAAGGAGCCGACGGGGCCTGGGGGAAGGGGCTGGGGTCCAGGGCAGAGACCTACATCAGAGAGCCCCTCTAGACGGCTCTGGGAAATGAAGCTTCCGCAGCCAGGACGGCCTCTGAGGTCACACGGAGGTGGTGGATGCCAGGTGACACCTGTGTCCCTCACACAGACATGACCCCAGGCTCCTACTCCCTCCCAGAAGTCCCCATGAGGTCTCAGAGGGGACAGAGGGGGCAGAGGGGAGGCCGGGGGCCAGGAGCAGTGGGGAACATCCAACCACATTTTGGTGTGGTCCCCAGCGCTCCTGGAGGCCGGCCCAGCCCTGGACGGAGAAGTAGGGCCTCGGATAAAGAGGCCAGTGGGGCCCACAGCCGGCGATGGCACGCGTCCCGCTGCCACCCAAGGCTCCCCTCCAGGTGGCACAAGAGACCACAAGTAGCGGGGCTGTGGTGCACAGCAGCCAGGGGGCCCCACCCCTCCCCAGCGGAGCCCCCAGGAACAGAATCTCCTTTCACCGGCCCTGTGGGTGGTCCCAGCCAGGCAGCTGGGGGCGGGGTGGGGACAGGGGGGCCGGACTCCATGACAATGGGACCAGCTGTGCTGTGCCCCCGCCCCTGCCCCAACCCCCCCCAGGGCAGGCGGGCTGGACACTAGCTCACCCCTGCCCCGGGGCCAGCTCCGACGCCCACTCCCACCCTAAGCCTCGGTGGGGAATGTCCAGTCTCTGGTAGGACCCCTCACTTGGGCGAGCCTGGAGCGGGGAGCAGGAGGCCTGGGGGCTGGGCAGACAGGCTCTGCCTCCGGCCAGATGTTCCGGGGCGGCTCCTCCAGCTCCAGGGTGCCTCCCCTGCACCCCAGCTGCTCGGCCAGGGAAGCAGAAGCCTGGGCCCCTGTCCTGGCGGCTGCCCCCCCCAGATGGCAAGCTAGGTCCACCGGTGGGAGGGTGGGGAGTCCTGCCTGGAGTTGGGGGGGGGGCACCTGGGCCCATCTCCCCTGACCCGGCCCTCACTTACTGCCGGGGCCTGGCCTGGCTGCCCTCCTTAAGATAGAGCCATTTCAGAGGCCCTGCCCCGGCCACCCCAGGTAAGGGAGGGGGTGGGGAGCAGGTTCTGCTGGGCACCTGCCGCCCTGTGGTGGGAGGAAGCAGGACTCGGGGGAGACCAGACCTCTGAGCGGCCCGCCCAGGCAGCCCACCATGCCTGCCGGCCCCCACGCTCCGGCCGTGTCGCGTGCCCCCCGCCCGCCTCACCCCCCTTCTCTCCGAACACACACGGCAGAGAAACAGGCCCCTGCACGCGGGGAGCCAGCTGGCACCCAGTCAAACTAGCAGCCAGGCATGCTGCCAGGGCAGGCAGCCAGCAAACGCTGCCACTCGCTCCGGCCCCGCCCGCCCGCCCGCCTGCCGGCCTTTACGCTCCAAGCTCACAGCGAGGCAGCCGGCACCACGTGGCCTGTCGGGGAGCGAGGCTACAGCAGGCAGACAGGCGGAGGGCGGAGGGCAGGGAACCCCCGCAGGAAGGAGATCCCGAGGCGGGGCGGCTTCACGGAGGGCAGAGAGAAGGAGGTGGCGAGGGGGTAAACTGAGGCACGGGCCTGGAAGGTGTATGTGGTTGCACGGTCGCCAGGATATATAGATCCCGGCTACCGCCAGGTGGGACCTGGCAGGTCGGGGGTGCCCTCCCCCTCAGGGCTCCTGCCTCTCCCGAGGCTCCTCTTCGGCCGCGGGTGGGCCCTGCTCCCCGCCCGCCCTGTGGGGGGGGGGGGGGGGGGGGGGGGGGGGGGAGGGCTAAGAGCCACACCCTGTCTCCCTTGGTCTTTGGCCACCTGCGCTTGTCCACTAAGCCCATTGGCCCGGCAGGCACGCCCTCCCCCACTAGGCTGTGGGCATGTCCAGCCTGAGGAGGTCCAGGTGGATGGACACACGACTTGGAATCCTGGGGCAATCCAGGGCTGGTCTGAGCGGGAGCAACGGACCCTCTTCTTGCTCAGGCTGCCCCTGCCTCAAAGAAGGTTCTACGGGATGCAGGACAGGGTGGAGGCAGGCAGGAGGCCCGCACGGGCCCCCCGACCCGGCCAGCGGACTCCCCTGGGGCTGCAGCTAAGGGCGGTGGGGAGCCCTGAAGGCCAAAAGCCACGCCGCCAATGTAGCCGTTGGCTCAGGGGAAGCGAGTGGCGGGAGGCCGTTGAGGACGCCGTCTGCAGGCTGCCTCCCACCCCGCCCTCCCCGCAGCCCCCAGAGGGGCAGGACAGGGACACCTTCTCCCTGGGCCCCAGGGCAGGTGGCACTGCCCACAAACCGCCCTCCGTGCTGCTGAGGTCCCCAAGGGCGGGCCGGAGGGGAAACTAAGTCAGCCAGCCCGGGTGTGCCCATGCACCTGTGGCGGGGCCAGGGTGGGGCCGTGGCCGTTCCTCCGTTACTTCGTTATTTTGAGGTGGTCCCACGTGGCTGCTGCAGCCCCCCACCCCTCCCTCCTACAGACATCCTTCCCAGATGCTCCCGCCAGGGCTGGGAGTTTGCCTGGCGGACAGAGAGGCGGAAGAGCTGCAGGGGCGGGGAGGGGGAGAGGCACTGAGCGCGCGGGGCCACCCACCGCTGCCAGGGAAGCCTCGCCCCAGCGCCCAGCCCCGCCCGCACCAGCGGGTCCCCCCTGGGGAGGCTACTAAGAGTGCGGGGGTGGGAAGCGGGCAGCAGGGGGGTGAGTCTGGGCCGGGGACCCTGCCCCGTCCACCCGGCCTCCCTCCAGCGGGAAGGAGACCTCTTGCTGCTTATCGCCTGCCCAACATGTGCACCCTGCGCAGCGCTTAAAGCCTAGATTATTTTAACAACTGTCCCTCACTTGTCACCTGTCCTGTTTGGAAAACAGCCCCTTTCTTGTTGCACAAAGAGGTTTCTCTGGCTCTCCAGCAGCGCCGGGCGCTAATCTCCCTGCCTGGAACACGGACGGCGGGCGCGGCGTGTGGGTCCGCGCTCTGCAAACGCAACGCTTGCCGCTCAGCAGTCACTGAGTTACGGCGGCGCCGGTGCCAGGAGCGGAGAGCCCTCTGTGCCCGCTGCCAACTGCAATTACCTCTCCGCGTGCCAGCCACCGCCGCCGGGCTTAACCCTTCCCGGGCCGCACGGATACCAGCAGCCACGGGCCCGGGCTGACGCACACGTCCCAGCGCGAGGGGCTGAACAGACAGCAGGCGGTTGGGAAACCGGAGGGGAGCCCCAGAGTCCCCGAGGGGCCCCCGGGGCTGTCCTGCCGGGCGGCCGCAAGGCCTGCGTGCACAGGGCCGCATTCCGAGGGGAGGCCAGGGGCCCGGGAGGGGCTCTGCTCCGGGCGAGGCCCCCGAGGTGGCTGCAGGAGCATGTTGACAGCTCTCTCCCCCCACCCCACACCTCCCTCCCAGCTGGCACATCTGGAGCCCATACCGCTTTGAGTCTGGGGAGGTGGGCGCAGCCCCAGGCAGAGGGTGCAGCCCGGCCCCGGCCTGCCCAGCTGTGTTCCACATTTCCTTGGCTCCCCCAGAGCCCTCTCGGCCCCACCTCCTTCTCCACCACCCCCCCCCCGCCCATCTGCGGTGCACATCTGGCCAGGACCACTGCCTGGTGGGGCCCGCCCCCCGTTTCCAACCAATTACCACCTCCCCTGTGCGTGGGGGCTTCCTCTCCTGGCCCCTGGCCCCTGGCCCCGGACTCACCTTCATGGGAGTGAGAGAACCAGATCTGGGAGGTGGCGGGGTGGGGGCCGCGGTAGGCCTGCTCCGAGGGGGCGGGGGTAGGGCCGCTGGGGTGCGCGGGGGCCGCCGAGCCCAGGCTGCTGGTGAGGAAGCTGCCCATGAACGAGGGCGCCGGAGAATTCCCCATCAGGCGGCTGCTGGCTGTGGACACAGGGGGCAAGGGTGAGTCTGGACCGGGTCAGCCCGCCAAGGAGCCCGTCTCCAGGGGTGACTCTTGAGCCCCAAACCCCCGGGGCTTCTGTCTTCAGAAGCAGGAGAAACGGCCCGCTCGGGCTCCCGACAGACACGCTCGGGGTCCCGTGCCCTCCTGCCACTGTTGGCACTTTTGCGACCAGCACCGCCCCCCGCCCCCACCCTGATCAATGGGATGCCGAGTGCCGTGCCCGCGGGCAGCAGGCGGCTGGCTGTGCGGTGGGCCTTCTCCTCAGAGGCCGAGCCCCTGACTCTCCCAGGCCACGGTGGCGGGCAGCTCCGGGGCCCCGCAGCCACCGGCGCACCTGCCAGAGAGCTCTACCCACACCTCCCAGAAAGGCCCAGCATCAGCAGGGGCCCTGCTCCAGCCTTGTGGGCCCCGTGGCCTCTGCCCGCCTTCTGGGCAGCACTGGGGGGACCGGCCCCTCCCCACAGTGCGGTCCTCAACCTTCTCCCCAGGTCCAACCAACGGACTCATCAGCCCCACCCAGGTGAGAGGGACAGAAACTGGAGGCAGAGGCAGAGACAAAGGATGAAGCCAGACCTGCCTTTTGTCAGCCCCCTGGGGCTCTCAGGGTCACACCCCGGCCAGCCTGGCAGGCGGACACACATAGTCATCTGTTCCCCAGGACACCCCGCGCTGGCGCTGACAGCCGGCTCTCCGTGCCCACCTGCACCCCCGCCACTGTGTCCCCTCTCCCTGCCCAAATCCAGTGGCCAAGGCCAGGCTGAGCGCGCCTCCCTGGATTTCCATGGCGACGGCAGCTTGCGCAGGAAGGACGCAGGCGGACACAGACCGCTCTCTGAGGAGCAGCCCCTGGGGGTGGTGGGGGGTTAGGACAGCCGTGCTCGGCCCCCGCCCCGCCGTCTCGTCACCCCTGTTCACAGGCAGTGAGCCTGGCTTGGGACCAGCCCAGGGATGGGGAGCAGCGGCCTGGGCGCTCAGCACCCCATCAGGCTGGGTGTAGGGAGGGGCCTGGTGGGGTTCGCGGGAGTTCTCAGGGGGTCCCCGGAGGCTGCAGGCCCTGCCCTAGGTGAGTCAGGGCAGCTGTTTCCCTGCCCGGGAGGCAGGGGGATTTTGTGAATTTGTGATTCCTCATCCAGCCCGGTTTTGGCTCTGGGAGCTTCCCAGACACCGGGTGACTCAGCAGAGAGGAGGCAAGGCCCAGAGCAGGGGAGAGGGAGGGGCTGCCCTGGTGGGGACCCTGGCAGCTTCCCTCCCCTCCAGCGTGTGAACGGGACAGACGGAGGAGTGGGGCCTCTCCTGGGCGCCGGCCACAGAGGCAGGTGTGTGAGTGCGGCCAGGGGCTGGAGCACACGCCGACCTCTGTGGTGGGTGTCAGGATGCAGGGAGACCCTGGGAAGACCCAGGGGCAGGGGACGAAGGTGCCCGGGGGCCAGGGACTTCCCGGACCGCAGGGCTGGGACTGCCATGGGCCTCGGCCAGACCACAGGCGTCCAGCCAGGGGAGGGGACTCTGGGCTGGGAAGGGAAGTGTTGGCCTCCGGGTCCGCGGGTGGAGGGGCAGGAGTGGGAGGGCGGCCCCTGCTGGGCCCCAGGGACCTGGGGGGGGGGGGCCATGCCTGGAGGATGAGCAGGCCTTTTCCTGCCTCGCCCAGTCTCCCAGGCCTCCCCACCCCCGCACCCTCCCAGGAAGGTCCCTCCCACCCTGCTCCTCCCGGGACACTGGGAAGCAGCCCAGTCCAAAAGCCGGGTCTGGATAATGAATTTCTCCAGGAGCTCAGCCTGAGAAGCCCACACCTTGAGCTCTCCCACACCGCGGGGGCGAAGCGGTGGGCCAGGCTCCAGACTGGGCAGGAAATGCAGCTCAGGGTCCCACGGGGTCCCCTGGCCCTGGGGTCCAGGGAAGCCGAAGCTTCCAGGTGGGTCCCGTGCAGGGTCTCCCGGGCCTGAGGCTCCGGCCTCAGAGGTCTCGCCCCGGCACCCCCCCCCCCCCCCCGCCGCCACATCCCCAAGGGTCAGCCACCTGGGGCCACAGCGGGTGGGGAGCAGGGCCTGAGGCCCAATACTGGACCTCTAGGCTAAAATCTGGGTTGGGGGTCCCAGGACCTCATGCCCTCCTCCAGACACTGATCCTGGCCTTGGGTGGGGACACTCACGGGTGCTCTGTTCTGACCCTATCCCAGAAGGGGGTCCCACCGCACGCGGGCCTAGGAGGGTGGCACCTCAGCTCAGCCGGCCCCTGGTCTTAGCTCTGCAGAGCAGGGGACATACCGGAGACAGGCTACACTTCCCGCCTCGGCCAGAGACCCCAAGCCTGGGGCCCACCTCGCCCCACACCGCCCGTCTCCTGACGCAGGGGACCTTCTTGGGGGCCCTCAGAGAGCTGGCTTCTCTGTGTCTAGGGAGGGGACCCCTGCCCCACAGTTTGGGGAACGTAGTGGAAATGCTGAAACACTGTTCCAGCCCAGCCCCCCTCCCCGGCCCGTGGCGGGGCTGCCCCTGCCCACCCTGCTAACTGAGGGGCTGCCCCGCTGGCCTGGTGGCTGACTCAGACATCCACCTGGGGAACCTTCTCCACTTTCAGCTGGAAAACAGAAGGGGCTTGTCATGCAAACAGGATGACACAGGGAAGGAAGCAGAGGGCGCTGGAGACCCCATCGCCCCCACACCGCAAGTGCTCTTGGGCCCAACAGCGTCACAGAGGCATTGGCCGGCCCCGGCTGCACACACAGACACCCCGCGCCCTGAGCCGCTGTGGGAGACTCCCGCGGGGACCCAGGTGGCCTCTCCCTCCTACAACCCCCGTCTGCAGCGCCGGGTCCCGCCAGGGGCTCCCATTCCCACCCCCCGCTTCCTGCAGGCCAGTCCCCCCTGCCTGGGCCCTGTGCGGCGGGCTCCACGGTCCTTGCTCTGAACGGCTCGGTCTCTTCCCCACCGTCCTGGCCTAGAGGCGTGGACGCAGCCGAAGGTGCCGCAGGCCTTGCCAGGTGGGCTGCGGGGCCGGGTGGCGGGGAGAGGGCTGATGGCCCCTGGGACCTCCCCCCACCCCCAGCCGGCTCGCATCGTCACCTCCACCTCCAAGGAGTCTGCAGCTGGCAGCGTGCCTGGCCAGCAGGGGCCTGGGGCAGACCTGGCTACCAGCTCCCTGGCCCCTCCCGCCCACCAGTAGCCAGCCCCAGACAGAGCGTGAGCAGAGGCGGCCTGGGCCAGGGCCAGGGCCGGAGCCTCGAGGCCAAGTCTGGCCGGGAACTGGGCTGCAGGCTTCTTTCCTCTTGGCAAGGTCCTTGCCCACGGAGCGCTGCGGTCACCAGCCTGGGAAGGGACGGTGGGAGCCTGAGCAGTAGGGAAGGCCAGAGGGGTTCCTGGTTTGGACGCCCCCGCCCCGGCTGGGAGCTCCAGTCCTCCGGTCCTGGAGCCACTGACACTACCCCTCTCAGACCAGGGGCTCTACAAACCTCACACTAATTGCTTTCATGCCGTCCCAGACAACGGGCCACCACGGGGCTGACCAAGGAACGGGGCATCGTCAGTCTGGACCCCGGGGTCCCCAGTGCCTCAGCTGAGGTCTGAATGAGGCCTCTCCATCCTGAGGCTGCTCCGTCCAGTAGGAGCGGTCATGGTGGCCACTGCCCTGAGATTCTGTCAGCTCCCGTCACAGATACGTCCCACGTTCACGACAGCCTCGGGGAAGGGGCCCGAAGCTGTGTGACGTTTCAGCAGGGCCAGAGGCGAGCCGCCGTGTACTGAGCGTCACGCATGGCCCGCCGTGCCGCCAGCCCAGGCCAGACACGGGGCTCTAGTCCCGGCTGTAGCACCGCCTTCGCTCTGCCTAGTGCCCCACGGAGGCCTGGCCTGGGCGCCTGGCTGGCTGAGAAAACCGCTCCGGAAGCCAGCATGCCCGGGAGGCCTGGTTGACACCCTCTGGCGGCCTAGGTCCTCGGGCACGGCCCCGACCCCGGAGCCCCATCTGACCGTACACCCCGAGGCCCAGACGACCCGGCCCCTCGCCGCTGTCCCAGCTGGAATGCCCCGGACACCCCAGGAACCTCCAGCGACCACTGAGTCCGGCCTTGGCCCGCTGGAGAGGGGGCACCACGTGGCCGGGCGACACTGGAGAACGGGGTCTTCCTCCATCAATCTGTTTGCCAGGCCCCCCTGCCGCGGCCAAGGTGCTGAGGACGCCCCTGCCCCAGAGCACAGGTGTTGCCCGGGGGAGAGCCTACGGTCTAGGGGCCACCGAGACCCCCGCGGGCCTGACTGGCGGCAACAGGGGTGGCCCTGTGCCGCGCACCCCAAGTCTGAGGTGCCAGGTGCCCACCGTGCCCTCCCCTCCGCCCGCATCTCCCCACCAGGCTGTCCTGTGGTGGGGGTGCTGAGAAGCCTGTCTCCTCACCGTGATCCCAGGCTGAGGGCAGAGGGCAGAGGGAGTGGGAGTCGGGGAAAGACAGGCGGACAGAAGGGCCTCCGAGAGCTGGGCAGAACGGGCACTTATTGTCTGACGTGAGCCACGGGGACGGCATCCTCCCTCTCTGGAAACCGTGACACGGGCTGTGAAGGAAAGGCCTCACCGAGATGGCTGCCGGCCGCCTCCGAGAAGCAAGCCCTTCCCGGGCTCTCAGGGCTCCTGAGGTTCCTGGAGCCCAGCTGACTGGCTACTGGCGGGGCTTCCCCAGCTCCCACCCTCCCGCTCATACCTGCTCAGGCTCCCCACTTCCCTCAGGCCTTGCAGGGCCCACCTGGGCGCGCGGGGGGGGGGGGCACCCGGGGTCTCCCCCAGGACACCAGAGGCTGCTGAGACACTGGAGGGACAGGCAGTCTGCCTGGGGGCCCAGAGTGCCCCTCCTGTGCTGAGCCAGGCCTAGAGGGAGCTGTCAGAGAAGAGGAGGCAGGAGGTCTGCCCCAGGGACCTGGACACACCCCTCCTGTTCCAGGACAGGGGACAAGGAAGGAGAGTGTCCATCGGCGTTCAGCCCTGGTCCTGCATGGACTAAGATGGAAAGGCTGGGAAGCAAGCGGGGGGGGGGTGGGGTGGAGAGCCACCCAAGAACGGTCCCGGCCGGCTGGAACCCACCGCTGGCCCGGGCACACGCGTGCGCGTGCACAGAGGCAGCACAGTGACCGTGTGTGGGGGCTCACGGGGCGTGTCCGGGCACACACTCGTGGCCACGGCTGTACACGCTGGCCACAGGCGTGCACACAGGACACAGATGTGCACGCGTGTCTGAGGCACGGCCCCGAACACGCACGAGGTGGCTGACCCGACTCTTGCGAGAGGGGGGCCTCAAAGACCCGCTTCCCAGGGTCAGACCCCCACCAGACTGGTCCCCTTACTGGCCCCGGAAAAAGCCCCCGACCTTTGATTCCGTGTGCCCCCGGGGTGACGTGGGAGGGGCCGCCGGACCCTGCCCACCTCCTCCCCCGCCCTGGGCAGTGGGAGCACATTCCGGCTCACCTGTGCTGGAAGGGGACCCTCGCCTGTCGTCTGCACCAAACTAGAGACCCCCGAGCCCGAGCCCCTGCTGCACGGGACCAGGCCCCTCCCCAGGCCGGCTGCTCAGCCCCCAGCCACCCGGAGCTGACAGTGGCTCCAGGAGTCGTGTGGATTCTGGGGGACAGCTGGCAGGCCACGTGGCCAAGTTCGCCTCCCCACAGGCAGCCCACCCCCCTCTGCGGTGGAGAAGCAGCTTAGACTGGCACGAAGTCCCCTCTGATCTGTGACACCCCCCACCCACCCCCGCAGGGCAGGCTGTCCAGGACCCACGCATCGTCCAGATCTGGGGCGGTCCCCTCCGGCCACAAGCTGGCCGCCCCCAGATGTTGGCCTGTCTGGCCCATTCCCTCACTCCGTCCCACCAGACACCGGGTCTGCCCTGCTGCTACCACGGCCCCTAGGAGTCCCTGAGGGCTCCTCCCAAGGATCCCGGCTGCCGTCCACGACTCCGAGACGCTGGCCGGACGAGAGGAACCTGAGACGGGCACAGGGAGGGAGGAGGGACGGGCGGAGGAGGCAGGACTGTGAAGCCGTGGGTGAACCTCCTGGCCGGCCCAGCCCTAGGATGTGGAGGCAGCCCAGAAACATGCGTGTGTCACATGGGAAGCCCCTCTCCGCTGGCCCAGGAGAACCTTCCAGAAGCCCCGGTTGGCCCAAAAGCAGCAGTTCTCAGGCCATAATAGGAAAATTCTGTGGTTGCTGAGCCACCCAGCCGACAAACGTGGAAGCAAGATGACAGGGGAGGCCCAACCACCAACAGCCCAGAACTAATAAAAGAAAAGGAAAATCGGATATAAGTCTGGTTCTTATTAAAAGGGTAAATTTAGCCCTTTGGCTGGGCAGAAGGGGCCGCCCTCGGACTCGGGGCTGAGAGTGACTCAGAGGGCCCCTCGGCCGGGGGGTCTGGGCAGCAGCGGCTGAGGGCCGCCCCCTCGCTTCTCTTCACACGGCCTTCCTTCCCTGCACACTCTCCCCGGTGGGGCAGCCAGCACATCCCCCTCCAGGACACTCCGGAGGGCAGGCAAGTGGGCTGGGGGGGCGTGGAGAGGGCCGAGCAGGTCTGGTCTCGGGGTTTGGTCTGATCTGGTCCTGCCGGCACGGGATGGAGACCGCGATGGGCGGGTCCCGATGGGACCACGTTCGTGGTAAGGCTCCATGCCTGGGGGTGGTGAGTCTGCACTGCCAGCCAAGAGGACCAGACACCGGGTCCTGTGTGGCCTGGCAGTGGACTGGGGCCCAGAGACTGTGATCTTCCTCCTGCCGCCCCAGCCTCACGAAGGCAACACCACTGGCTGCGTTGGGCAGAGGCCCCGAGGCCAGCACAGCCAGAGAAATTGAGGGGTGGGGGGCAGGTGCTGGCTGGAGGCCACCTGGGGTCAGGTTCACCCCAGGTGCATCCCCCATCCTGTGGATCCCTCTCTCCCTCTTTCCCTCCATCCATCCTGCCCTCCATTTACCCATCCATCTATCCACTTCTCCACCTGTTTATCACTCCTACCGCCCCCAGATCAAGGTGCACGACTTGTCCCTCTCCTGCCACCCCTCACCCCCACCCAGAGGCCACCCCTGTTGCATGCCCACCTGGGTGCTGGCCCCGGAGCAGAAGGCATGTGCGCCGCAGCTGTCGGGGGCACAGGCTCCCCACGCCATCACCCTAGCCTGCTGGCCACAGAGGTGGTTCTCTCGGCACTCAGAGCCGAGCTAAAGCATCACCGAGCCTGGGTTCGTAAGCCCCTCTGCTGCCCCAAGTAAGTGCAGGGCTCTTGCCCTGCCCGGAGCCTGGCAGCTTCAGGATGGGGCCCTTGGGGACGCCACATCTCCCCGGTGTGAGGAACATCCTAGATGACACCCCACGTCCAGCCCAGGTCCAGACACGAGGCCTGGAAGCTGGGCTGGCTTGGGTGGGCGTGGAGGGGTCTGGAGACGCCTCCCAAAGACACCTAGGGAGGCTACAGGCTGACCGGGCACCTGGCGCCCACAGCCAAGCGGGAGAGGCACTAGTGTGCATCAGCGAGCTCCAGCAGAGCTGTGGCCGTGGGGCGGCGGGCAGGGACGGCCGTGAGCACTGGGGTCACGACCTCCGGCCATGGGGTCGGCTACCATGTTGGGCTGGGAGAGCTCTGCCCGGCCATTGCAAGGACCCAGGTCAGCTTCTGCTCCCTCGTGCCTGAGAAGGACCGGGGACCGAGGGCCTGACTCCCAGAACGGGGCTGGCTCGGGCTGCGAGGTCCTGGAGTGGGGCCAGAAGGGGCACCGAGATCTCCATGGGTCACTGCATGGACCAGCCTGTCAAGAGTCAGCGCTTAACCAACTGAGCCACCCAGATGCCCCTTTCCTTTTTCCTTCCTTTTTTTTTTTTCCAGTACTTTCTGTCCTCATTTCCCAGCCACCTCCTTTAGGTCTGGTTCGATCCAGACACGTGGGGACTCATGCTCTAGGGCTGCCCCTTCTAGAATACATCCCTTCCCGCCTCTTTCTCAAGGCTCAGTGTGCACTCGGCCTCTTCCGTGAAACCCAGCCCGACCCAGCCCTCCACTCGGCACCCGGCAGCGCGTCCGGGCACTAAACCCCCATCGGGGCCCCGAGGGAGAGGCCCGCTGCCAGGCACGGGCCCCTGGTGAGTCCAGGGTCCCAGCGGCTCAACCCTACAGAGAACAGAGACCAGAAAGCAGCAGGGACGGGCTGAGGAACAGCAGGGTGAGGCCACCTGACCCCAACGCCCCTCGGAAGCTGGTCCTGCCTCAGGCCCAGTCAGCGCAAGGCTGCCCTCAGGGCCACAAGGGTCTCTTGGCCCACAGCGCTTTGCTCACGGCAGGGGGCTCCTGAAGGAGGGGACACGGGACCTGGCAGGAAGGGCACAGAGCCAGAGAGAAGCCCGGGGCAAATGCCCACAGTAGAAGAGCCTGGGGACGCGGAAAGGAACAGAAGTGCAGAGAGCATTGCCCGCAGATGCTTTGCAGGGTGTGGGATTCGAGGGCCGGGGGAGGGAGGTGGAGAAGAGGCAGGGGTCTAATGAACCGGAGATGCCGTTCCTCTCTCAGACGGCACCACCGTGCAGGGGTGGGGGGGTGGGGGTCAGAGCAGGGGCTCCCGCCAAGCCGATGCCCTTGGCCGCGTGGAGGCCTGGCAGTATCCTGCCAAGAGAGCCAATGTGACTCGTCCAAGAGACGCCTGCGTGAGACCAAATCCCCAAGGGGACCCTGGGGGGAGCCTGGATCTGGGCCTGCCCGGCACCCGTGTCCAACGTTCCCAACAGACGGGGTCCCGAGTGACCCAGGCCCCAGGCCTCTCCTGGCCGAGACCTCTGGGCAGCCCGACCTTCTGAGGGGCCATCCCTCCGCACCCCTTCCCTGCTGGCTCCTGGTGGGCGGTGTAGACCCCTCCTGGCCCACAGGGCTCGCAGGGCAGCCCGGGGAGGGGACGGGTGTGCACCGGGGGCTCTCTGCACCCTCGCCGTGTCTTCCTGCAGCCAGGCCACTTTGACGAAGCACCCCATTCCCTCACATGTGTCAAGATGAGATATTCTAGTCTCTAAGAACAGTCAGAATACGGGGCGCCCGGGTGGCTCAGTCGGTTGGGTGTCCGACTTCGTCTCAGGTCATGATCTCACGGTTCATGGGTTCGAGCCCCGCGTCGGGCTCTGTGCTGACAGCTCGGAGCCCGGAGCCTGCCTCGGATTCTGTGTCTCCCGCTCTCTCTGCCCCTCCCCTGTTCACGCTTTGTATCTCTATCAAAAATAAATAAATGTTAAAAAAAAAAAAAACAAAAAAAACAGCATAAGTAGAAGGAAAACTCACTCCTCAGAGGTAAAACGATGGTGCTTCTGGGGACTCTTGGGGTGCAGGGCAAGTTGGGGGTGGGGAAATTGCACCCCACTGATCCAGAGGTCCCCAGGACAGAGCAGTAGCCCTGAGGTGGGAGGGGAGGCCTCTGGAATGGGGCTAGATTGAAGGCCAGCCCAGGGGAGGCCGTGGGGGACCAGGCCAGGGCCAGCCCAGCAGGGGCTTCCAAATGACAGAAAACCCAGCAGCCAACCCCCCATCCCAGCTCACCTGCCACCTGGCACCCTGCCCAATGCTCCCTGGCTGCCCAGCCGCTTGGGGCCGGGGCCGGGGTGGGGGGCGGCGGGCTGCACGGGTCCAGGGAGGAGGCACGTGGGCAGAGAACCAGCCCGGGGCTTCCGGCCTGGAGGCCTGTGCTCCCGCATTGCTCCCAATGTGACCAAGGGCAAACCAGTGGTGTCACTGAGCCTCTGTCACCTGGAGCCCATCTGCCCCAGGAGACTCGTCCCCGAGCCTGAGGGTGATCCCCCTCGCCCAATTCACACCCCGGGCTCCCAGCAAGTGTCCTGTGCAAAGGAGGGGAGGGGGCTTTGTGCTGGGCTGCCCAGACAGGCAAGGTCCCCCAGAGGACATCTCACACATAGCCTCTGAGGGTCAGAGGCCACAAATGTGCCATGACCCCTGGCTGCCTGTGCAGTGGCCAGCCCGGGGCCAGCTCCCCTCTCCTCAGGGGGACCCAGGGCCTGCACTGGCTCCAGGTGGTCCAGGGGGCGGCCCAGGTAAGCCCAGGGCACCTGCACCTGCACAGAGCAGGCGGCTGGTTCCAGAACAGCAGCAGAAAGTGCTGCCCAGACCTGACGGTGCGACATCCCTGTCACCCAAGCCACAGCCTGAACCCCGGGCTCCGTCCGGAGAGTGAAACTCTACCAGGTTCATTCATTAGACAAACAATTCCTGAGTGCCCGCAAAGTGCGGGGTCGCCCGCCCTCACCCAGGCCCCGCCTGGGATCCGAGGAAGCCGCAGGCCAGGCACCCTGGCCTCCAACAGTGGCCCTTGGATCTCTCGGTGACCCGCACCGTCCTCGAGGCTATTTTGGGGCCAGCCTGCTGGCCTGCTGGTGGCATCCCTGGGAGCAGACATCTCACAGGTGGGAAGATGATGCTGTGCTTCTGTGGACAACGCGCCCGGCCAGCGGGGTAAGCAGGCCCACGCTTGTCTGAGGGCCCTCTGCCGAGCAGGGATGGGGCTTTTGAAGGGGACGGGCCAGAGCGGGGTCCCCGTGACCAAGTGACGACAGGGTTGTGGAGCAAGGAGGGGGCAGGGGCCGAGAGGGAGGGAGTTCTCCAGCGGCTGGGCTGGGTCACACGCAGGGAGCCGGGGAACGTGGGGGCCTCGGCTGGCCAGCACTTGGAGGAGGAGGGCCCGGGCCGCAGAGGGGACCTGGGAGTAGTTGGCATACTGGGGCAGTTATGGCCTCAGGAGGGGTCCAGATCCAGTGGGGCCCCCCACGAGCCCTGACCCCTGTATGGAACCCCCTCCCCTTGAGCGTGGGCAGGATTAGATTCACTTCTACGAACAGAAAACGCCCTTTGGAGATCAGGTCATAAAAAGACCGTGGCTGCCGCCTTGCTCACCACCCTTGGAACCGTTGTCACCAGCCAGCAGTCGACAAAGAACTGGGGCCTGTGACAGCCACGTGGGGGGGAAGGGGGAGCTTGGAAGGGGGTCCCCCACAGCCAAACCTTGAGATGCCTGAAGCCCGGGCGAACACCTTCACTTAGAATCCTGAGCCACAGAAACAGAGAGACAATAAACGTCTGCCGTTGTCAGCTGCCAAGTTTGGGATGATCCGTTACACGGCGGGAGCTAACTAAGACACAGAGAAGCCCTGGAACCCAAGTGCAGAGGGTTTTTGTAGCATTTACAGTGGAACCCGGAGCAGAGAAGGAACCTTCAGCAAGGGGAAGGGAGGCTCAGGAGGGGAGTTGGCAACTCAGGGAACAGATCTG